CACGTCTCCTGGTTGCCCGGCCGCGCTCTGCCCCCGGCCGCCCTCCGCACCACACCAGAGCCTCTCCCGCGCCGCCCGGCCCGCCTCCCTCGCCGTTGGAGGCCGCCTCGGCCCTCTGGCGCCCGGCGCAGCCCTGGGACTGGCTGGCAGGAGCGGCTCCTTCCCGGATCACCGGGCTCCGGGCCTCGGAAGCGGCCAGACGGCGGGCAAGAGGGCAAGGCGACGGCGATGCCTGCATATGCGTCGGAGGCCAGGCAGCCGGGCCGAGAAGGGAGAAGTGGCGCCTTCCGTGTGGGAGCTGGCACTCCGGCCGCGCCCCTCTCGCGTGCAACGAGTCGGGGAAGGGTCATGGCGGTGAAGGGCTGCACGGTGTGGAAAGGGGCTCCCGCGACCCCGCTGCTGCGATGGCGCTCAGGAGGCTGGAGGGGCGGGCAGGTCCCGGGGCGGCGGCTGGGAGAGGGCAAGAGGTGCCGGGATGAGGATGGGGGGCTCCAGGTTGGCGGGCGCGAGAGGGCGAGATAGAGAAAAAACTAAAGTGATAGTTAAAAATCTTACAGATAAACAAAAAAAGTAATTATCAGAAAAAATAGAAATGCAAACAGTCAAAAAGATCAAATACTTGAGAATATATCTGACAGCAAGATGTTCAACAATAAAAGAAGGTAACTATATTAAATTGTTAAATCAAATAAAGGTTGATTTGGAAAAATGGAAGAATCTGCAACTGTCGATATTAGGAGGAATTGCTACTGTGAAGATGAATATATTACCAAAAATTCTATTTTTGTTTCAAACAATACCTATGAAACTGGAGAAAAAAATTCTTTGAAGATTTAAGCTAATTCAAAAATTTATCTGGCAAGGAAAGAAAGCTAGAATTAAATTGAAAATGTTACAAGAAGCTAAGGGAAATGGACGTTTTGGCTTGCCAGAATGGGTTTTATATTATCAAGCGTCAGTGCTAACATGGGTAAAAGAATGGATAACTCTTAGAAATAAAAGATTGCTGTTCTTGGAGGGACATGACCTACAACTTGGTTGGCATGCTTTTTTATGGTATGGAAAAAATAAAATACATAAATACTTCCAAAACCACCATATTAAAAATGGACTATTAACATGGGAAAAAATAAAATGTAAAATCTATTTGAAAATTCCAGGTTGGCTCTCAACAATGGAAGCATTTGTATATCCAAATCTAGTCAGTCTCGATAAAATATGGACATATAAAGATATTCTAAATTCTGAAGGGAACTTAAAATCCAGGCAAGAGATGGAAAATCAGGGCATCGATTTAACATGGTTGTCACATTTACAAATGCAAGTGAGATATGGCAAAGATATTAAACAGTATGGATTTTATAAAGAGCAGACTATGTTTGAGCAGACATTACTAACTTCCAATGAAAAGTTAATTTAAAAAATATACAATTTCTTATTAAATCTGAAAATGGAAGATGAACAAGTAAAAGAGACAATGATAGTGTGGGCAAAGCATTTTGGATATAATATAGCAGTGATAGCAAACCTTTTAGAGACTGCAACCCAAAACCCACTTATTTATCCCTGGGTGCCAGGTGGGTGTGGCCACTGGGTGGGCGTGGCTGTGGTGGTCATGGCAGACTGTGTGGGTGTGGCCAAGGTGGGCGTGGTCACCTTGATGTTGCTCGTGGGGACGCCTGTGGGGGCTGGGCAGGGTTGGGGGAGATCCAGGGGGTCTCTGGCATGTGGGACAGTGGGCAGGAGTCTCGTCCTGCGGGGTAAGGCGAGGCAGGGCTGGGGTGCCATTTTCACAGGGCAAGGCGAGGCAGGGGCCGGGACGGCTGCTGCCTGACACCATCGGCCCCCCGCACACAGAGGCCAGCGAGCGCATGGGGACCAACAGTGTCTGTCAGCATCCACAGCCTGCCGGCCCCTCAACCAGCGCACTCTGGGGCTCCGCAGCCCGCCACCAGAAGTTCAGAGAAGCCGCCTCTGAGCTGGACAGACGGCCGACAGCTGAGGAGGTGATGCAGTGGGTTGTGCCCGGGAAAAGGAGAGCATGTGAGGCCAGAGAGATGGAACGGGGGAGGGAAACCAGCCATGCTGGGATGCATCCGGCCACATGGGACCTCGGCGAGTTAGCAGGCGACTGGTTGAAGAGGGACGGTTGCCATCTCCAGGGCATGGCATGCGTGCCCACAGAGAGGGCTCCGAGTGCCACCTCTGGCATGCGTGCCATAGGTTCGCCACCACTGTAATATAGACTTAGAGAAGTGGCAAAGTTTGTGGGAAAGAAACTATAAATTGACAACGTCAGCTTCATATAAAGAAAACTTATACAAAATGTTCTATCGATGGCACTTGCCACCAACAAGATTACCAAAAATGTTTAAAAATATGTCAGAGAAATGTTGGAAATGTAAACATAAACCAGGTACTTATTATCATATGTGGTGGACATGTCTAAAGCAAGGAGATATTGGACAAAAATTCATACTTTGTTAGAAAAATTGTTAGAGAAACACATAGACTATAAACCTGATTTTTTTTCTAGGTATAATGCCAGAAAAAGTTGATAAGCAAAGTACATACCTGATTTTACATGTGATAACAGCAGCAAGAATTATATTTGCACAATACTGGAAGAACGAAGAAATACCACCAGAAGAAGAAATAATTAAAAAAAATACTAGACTGTAAGACAGACTTACTTTAAGGTTGAAAGAAAAAGAAACAGAATATTTTCAAACTTGGGACCTATTTTATCAATGGTTAGAGAAAAGATTTAGGGATTAGGAATTTAATTTGTATTAATAAGATACTCAGACAACACGTTTTTGCTGAATGATTATTATTGAATTCTGTTAAAAAAAGTCAATAAAACTTTATAAAAAAAAAACAACGCCTGAAGGAACAAAGGAAGGATGGAGAAAAAACTAGAACTTAAGTGAACACAGTAATAATTAGAAATGTTATGTTAAATCACATTTATTACATTTGTTTTGTTTCTTGAAGTGCACTTCAATTTATTTTAGAAATCCTAGCATGGCTGATCTCTAATTCCCCGGCTGTGAATTGAAGACTAAACTTTAATCTCAATTCTGTGTTTATTTACATGGAAGTAAGACCGCTCGAACTCACTGAGCCTTTTTCTGAACCTGCAAGTAGCTTTATGCCTAAACGCAAAACTTTTTAAATAAAACATCAAACCAGATTACAAATATTCTCATGGTATCGCAATGATTATGTAATAAGAAATTTGAATTTAAACATTTTACAAAAAAAAGCTCACCACATTTACTTTATTCTGTCTTTTAAAAAGCTGAAAATGATTCCTGTATGTATCTAAATATATTGTAAAACTCACCGAATTTTAACATATACCGCGTGGAAACTAAAGTCACACTTCCTCCCTGCGAGCAGCCATCTTGAAACACTTGATTAGTTTTAGCAACGAGTTTATTGGACGAATTCCTAGAACGGACCCTGAATAATCCGCCTAAGAGGCGGAAGAAGAGATTTCTTTACAGTTTAAAGAGGAACGGTTTCATTCATGTTTCCCAGCTAATTGCAGCAAATCAGATTGCTCAATTTGCGGCTTTTCAGGGAATTCGATCTTTATTATTATCATTTTAAGTCACTGTAGCCCTCTGGATGAAGGGCAATATGCATTGGTAGATTTACAGTATGAGTCTTTGGCGCTATCAGATCTTGTAGCTTTATAGTTCTCAATGTTTTTCAAGTTGACAACTTTAAGATGCGTGGACTTAAACTCCCAGAATTCCCTAGCCGGCTAGGGAATTCTGGAAGTTGAAGTCCACGCATCTTAGAATTGTTGAGTTTGAGAAACACTGGTGAAAGACAGGCTGTTGCTAAGCCATTTCTAAGCTTTTCATGTAGCTGGGCTGGGCAGCATAGGTGCTTCCCATTCCTGATCGACCCCTGGTGCCTATTGAATTTGCGATGCTTACAGTAAGTATCAAGTATTACTAACCAGGTTCGAATAGAAAAAAATTAAATTACTAGTTGCTCAGCCTTAAAGTCTCTGCGTTCATTTGGGCTTGCCCTTTCCCCCGAATGACCTGATGTCACTTAACAGGGCGGACTCGAGAGGGCCCATGAGATTTATCTACCAATTAATTTAACCAGTGATTAATAGATTAAACAAAGAGCGTGTTTAATCAAAATGATTTAAGGAAAGCTGTTCCTTCTTCAAATTATGTTTTTGCCCTGACTTAAAATCCACCCCAGGGCGAGTTGTCAGAGGAGTTAAACCAACTGACAGCTAGGAGACAACACCTAGCCCAGTGTTTCTCAATCTCAGCAACTTTAAAATATATGTACTTCAACTCCTAGAATTTCCCAGCCGTGGTGCAGGAAATTGTTGAGTCTGAGAAATACTAATGAACCTCCAAATTCCAAGTGGAGGCTAAAAGAAAGCCACGGAAATCCCAGAGTGGAACTGAAGAAGCTTCTTAGATGAGAAGCAAAACGTCTTCAAAGAAAAACAAAACACCTTTGGAACAACTATGACCTGAATGACTGAGAATCTCCATAGACACAAAGCCACGGAAATCTTTTTCCGCTTGTCCACGTAATTCGCCGGGGATCGAGCGCAATTTGATGTTAATTCTAATAATTTTCGGTTCAACGGCAGCTCGGCGACTCCGTGACGGTAGAGCCGATTACTGATGTATAGAGGCGGCTATTAAATGTAACTATGGACAAGAACATCGTAGATCGACACCCTAGTTTTTCCAATATGTTCTCCAGGAAAGCTCTGGTCCGAATCAGACAGATTTAAGAAATGGAAAATGCCGTCCGCGCCGCGCGAATATTAGGAAATCATCCCCCTTCGGGTTCCTTCGGGAACTAATCCGATTTTACTGACTAAGAGGCTTTCAGAGAACGCCCACTCTGTTTCTTAGAGCACCAATCAACTACTGGTGGTACCCTTTAGCTCCGCCCATTTATTATCGGCGACTCTTGATTTTACCCGGCCGAGGTTTCACCTGCTGTAGTCTTGAGATATTGCTACGTTGACTCCCGGATCTGGGGTTTTCTTTCTGAATTACCACTCGAGAGAGCCGAGAAAGGGAGTGCTTCGTTAGCAGCCATAGAGACTTGGCCACTCGCGATTTGTGCAAGGGACGACAAGCAAAGCAGCTGTGCTTCTAACGGGGTTGATTGTGTGAACGAAAATTTGCCAGGAGCTGGAGCGAAGAGTAAGCGAAATATCCTTTTCTCTGTTAAACAAAATTATATAGCCTTGTGTGGTACTTTATCAAACGATGATGCGGAATGACATCCAGTAGAGAATGTGCTTTGGCCGGTGTGTTCGTCATTACTAAATGACATACTGGTGTGGGAGTTTTCCTTTTCGGTGAAGTGACACAAGAGAGATGTTGCCAGGATTCGATCCTGTGCCTTTTGTTCCAACTCGAAAAGGAAAATTGTTCCTTCAAGTCAATCTTGACTCTTGCACTTTTCTTGTTGGTACTTTTGGAAGTTGTATTTCCTTATTTCTAGGTCAAGAGAAAGGAACTGGCTCGAAGTCACTGGCTTTGTATCTAATAAAAATTTTAGATACTTCTTTGTAGCCTGATACTTTTGTTATTACACTAGTGCCAAGAGGCACTATTGAATATTTTTAATATTTTAATTTGAACTCCAAATTAAAGGAGATGAAAGGCATTTTTTAAAAAGTGGAATAATGAACTTTTAAAAGCAATTGCCAATGTTCTTGATTTCTTGCATATTTAAGGAATGCATCTATCATACAAGAATTTTTTAAGACCAAGATAAATACACAAAGCAACTACAGTAGAAAACTGGATGAATCTTGTGTAGAACTTGGTTTCTGAAGATCTGGGATCTAGGACATGATGGGAAAAGAGTAATCAAAACCAATTGTTCCAGAGATGAGTACAAAAGTGCACATTAGTTCACCTCAATGTACTCAATGTACAAGGGACTAGAGGCTAAAGCATATTAAGAATGATTGCAGGAACTTGGTATATGTCTAGTCTAACAGAGAAGGACTGGGAGTGACATAAAACAGTCTTTCAATATCTGAGGGACGGTCACAGAGAAGAGGGGGGGGGTCAATTGTTTCCCCAAAGCACCTGAGGGCAAGATGAGAAGTAACAGATTGAAGCTTATCAAATATTGATCCAATCTAGAATTAAGGAGAAATTTCCTTCAGTAACAAAAATTAATCAGTGGAACAGCTTGCCTCCAGAAGTTGTGGGTGCTGCATCACTGGAGGATTTAAGAAGAGATTTGACAGCCATTTGCCCAGTATGGTACAAGGTCTCCTACTCGAACAGAGGATTGGACTAGATTAGAAGACCTCCAAGGCCCCTTCCAACTCTGTTATTTTGTATAATGAGGGGGAAATTATTTTAAATGTTTGAAGAAATGTTAGTAAATGCAGCTAAACCTGCAATTGACATCTTTTGCTGGAGTAGTTCATAAAAGTAAAAGACAGCAATGTTTTTAATACAATAGATTATCTATTTAGATGTCATGTAAGTATCAATAATGTTGGACCAGGTCATTCATTTTATTTCCAATATGTGGACCACCTATGTTGCTGTTTCTACAGCAAAAACTGTAGTTATTTAGAAAGCTTTGCAAACCTACACAAAGAGACATAATCCCCCCCCAAATCCAACCCTTTAAAACCCTTCTAAAGTTTGAAAAGCAAATCTCATACAAATGAATGAAGACTGAGCATGCTTTGAGATAGAGTTTGTGGCTGTTAAAGTGAAAAAGGAGTGACATCGCTAAAATCCCGATCAGCAACATTCCCTGCTGCAATATTCTGGTGTAGGTTCTAGTTTCTCTGCAGGAATCTAGGTCTCAGTATCTTGTCATGACCAAGAAATTGCATCCTGATTGTATCCATAGGGTAGAAGCAGTCTATGTTCTCAGTAGTTGAAGTCACCAAATATTTTTTCAAATATCATTTTTCCTTGGCACTGTCAGTATTCTATTTTCTCTTATACTACTTTTATCATGCATTTTCATATTATTGTTTGGCTATACTACTGCTTTACTGTTTTTATATTTCACATGCTACAGCATTTTAACTTTAATCTGATACTAATGCTAATGAATTTTTGTACTGTTTGCATTCCTAAACAATCTTTAAAGTTTCCATTCACACACTGTTCTGGTCCAACAGTGAAGAATTATGGTAGACTATTGGCTATTATGGGACACATCATAGCCATGGCTATTATGGGACACATCACCTTGTGTCTGTCTTCACAATGGCTTCTACATACACAAAGCCAGGAAGTACTGCAATAAATGTTGACTTGATAAACTATAGGATTGACTGCTAAGACTACATTACCCATAAGCCATCTCTTAAGAAAACAGCGTTTAACCCTTTAGATGCTAAACTTTCTAACATACAGTTCTCTCAATGATACAACATTAACCCTGTAAATGCTAAACACAATAACACAATTCTCAAGTATATACTCTGGCCAGATGATTACATAACTGGTCCAGCACACACACTATTGCATAACTCTGCATATGGTTGCTAGATCCTCCCTGTAAGGAACCTAGGATAGCTATGTGACCTCTCTTTATTTATGGCAGTACTCATGCTGTAAAAATAGATTATAAAATGCATGTGGATTTTGAAATTCTTCTTCGCCCTGCAATTACACTATAAGTTAGTAGGTAGCACTTGTTTACAGTAAAAGCTCTATGGATATTGTATTATATTAATTAACATGTGCTGCAGTTTTGTTTAGGAAACGTTGCAGCAGAAAATTAAAAGAAATAATATTGTGGATCCTACCTGGTTTGATACAGTTGTGTTGAGGGCAAAACCTGCCATCTGTGCTTGATACTGGTTGACTCAGCATTGGTTGGCAGAAAAGAGGAACCTGAAGCTTTTAAAATTTTGCAGCACCACAGTTCCCTGTCACCCTTGCCATTGCAAATGACTATCATTCACTTGTCACAGGTGGGCCTAGGACAATTTGCTGTGGCCAACTCACTGCAGGACAACTCACCACAGGATAATTCAACATTGTATTAATCGTTTCATTCAGTGCTTTTTTTGTCATAGAACGCACCGGAACGGTGTTCCGGCACCTTTTTTCAATGGATTTTCCAAGTTTTAAAAGTAACTTTTGAAAATTTGATGTTTGGTCCACGTGAACTTGAATCACCCTGTGAAGCGTAGCAGGTCGGCAGCAAAATCATTAAAGCGGTGCATGCGGGCTGCTTATGTGTTAAGTCCGATACATGCGTACTAAGTGAGAAAGGTAAATAATTCCTTTATTTTAAAAAATCGTTGGTGAATTGAAAATCTTTTTTTAATTTTTGGTGTAAAAGTGTGGCCCAAATTTAAAAATGAAAAAAATTACTAATTACTTTTCAACCACTGGTCCTGCTAATAAAAAGGCCAGAATATTAACAGACACAATAAAAGATTAACAATATGTGAGTTCCGGCACCTTTTTTCTTACAAAAAAAGGACTAGTTTCATTTAATTACTTTTATTATTGGTGACCATGTTTTCGTCAAAATTATTGTAACTCTTGTATTTGTGGATTGACTTTATTTTATTGTTACTGGCCATGGTTTTCATTGAAATTAATTTAGGTTTTTTGTTTTTTGTTTTAATTTCCCTGTGGCAATTTGGCATGGCGAGTTGTCTCATTCTGTCACAGGTCGGCTACACTTAGCACTGTTCTTTGAAACGCAGCAGATGTCAATAAATCTTGGTCTACAAGATGGTAAAGAAAGCAACCACATCCTTTCGATTTTTCTTGTAATACACAATTCTCCTTGTAATGTATAATATTGGAAAAGTTTCTCATTTACTGTTTAGAAAAATATTTTCACATTCCAACTTCAAATCAAGTCAAATTACCAAACGTTTATTACAATCAATTGGTCAGAAAGCACAACAATAAAATATACAGACCTGTAATTATTAATTAAATTTTTAAATACATTGCAATAAAATTACATGAAATATATCATTATAGTAATTGTGGTACAAATAGCAGTGGCAATCACCAAAATTTGTACTAAACTTCAACTGTGGATAGGACAGAAACAAGAAATGATAGTATAAAATCAGGCAATCTGAAAAGATATATCAGAGATAAAATGTTGGCATATGCCTATTTCAGAAAAACTGATAAATTGTAGAGCTGGGCACCAAGTTACTTTAATTTGAAAAATATCTCAAAAATATTGTTCAAGATAACTCCTGGCATTTTCAAGCCCTAATGGACAGAAGCTTTCCAAAGAAACACCTAAGGACTGGTTAGCCAGGTTGATTTAAAATAGTGTCTGAGAACCAGTTGAGCCAGACCCACAGATTAAAAAAAAATTCAATGAAAAATTAAGGAATTAGAACTAGGCTCTGGCACCAGATTTTCTAACTGTAAAACATCATTCTTGATGCATCTTGGAATTTCATAAGCTGAAATATGACCTTAGCAAGAAAAACCTTACAATCTTTAGGAATAAAATGTGCCTCCTTTTTTTTTTCAAAATTTTTTTTTATTGTTTTCAACATAAGAAAAAAACACACATCACAAATAGATCACAATTGAAAACCCCCCCCACCCCCCACCCGGACTTCCCAAACCTAATCCCAGGATACTATTCAACTAAAAGTAACCTTGTACTAATATCCCTAACTCCACAAAATGTTATTCTACATAAGTAGGTGAAATATATATATATGTAAAAAAAAAATAAATTTTTTTTTATCTAAAAACCTAACTTATATTCCACCATTCTATGCTTATTTTGAATATAAACAATCCATCTTCTCCATATTGATAAAAATTGTTCATTTGAGTGATCCTTCAAATAAGCCGAAATCTTTGCCATCTCAGCAAGATGCGAAACTTTCAGTCTCCAGTCCTCTATTGTAGGTAAAACTTTACTCTTCCNAGTTCTCATAAATGCGAGACATAGTTGCAGGATCCATGTGCCATCTATAAAACATCTTGTAAAAATTCTCACGTAGATTTTGTGCCTGCGTAAATTTCACATTTCTCACCCATATCAACTCCCAGGTATCCATAGATATTATTTCTCCTATATTTTGAGCCCATTTAATCATACAGTCTTTAACTAGCTCAGTTTCTGAATCCAATTCTAATAAAACATTATATATCCTTCTAATATGTCCTTTAGAAGAATTTTAAGACAGCTTTGGGGCTATGTTGGG